GATTATCATCAGGACTACCATTAGGATTACCATCAGGATTATCATCATCAAAACAGAATCAAGAAATTCCTAATCGAGATCGTAGTAATTCAGGAACAAAGAAAATGACCGTACAAAAAACAGCACGAGGTTATAAAAGAATAATCTTTTAAATTTGAATTTTTTCTTTTTATTTTGCTACTATTATAGGTCCAATATCATTTGAATCAGTTGATTTAGAAACCGATTCAGTTATATTAGTTAATGAAAAATATAGTGGTAATGAGCAATCATTTCTAAATTGGTCGATTCGTCGTCAAATAGATCAAAAACCTGAAATAGTTTATCAATTTCCATCAACATTTTCTTTACGACCAAGACAAACAATTCGTATTTTTTCAAAACATAGTGCACCATCAGCAAATTCACTTAGTGATAATTTGGTTGCTGATAAAGTTAATACATGGGGCATAGGTCAACATATGGTAACACGTTTAATTGATAACAATAATGAAGAAAAAGCAATTATAACACAAATATTTCAATAAATAGAACGATAGATTTGATTGCAAACCTCTTCTTTTTTTTTTAGTATTAAAACATATATATACGAAAAAACTACTTTTGCACCTTTTCTTTTTTTAAATAAACTTAAAATAATTCATCTCCTTCTTCTTTTTTTTTCTCTTGAAAAAATAAATTTATATTTTAACAAATCGTGACTTTAAATAAATGATATATATTAGAAAAATAGTAAATATCAAAGATCAAAGTCTAGTGCAAACATATGACTATGTTCTCATCAATAGATTATATATATATAGATAGGTTTTGAGAAATGAAATTGCTACTGAATATTACATTCATTTTTTACCATGACATTGGCTTCTTCACTTGCGATTTTATTTTTTCTTTTGGTTACCAGTTCGATTGAAGCTGAATCAAAACAACGTCGTGAACTAATTGTACATGAAGGTATGTTCGTATTAGTATACATAAAAGATAATTTCTATGAGTTTTTCTTAAGGTAAATGTCCATCGAATAGTTTAATCATTCCTATTATGTGTCGTCGTCGTGTTTGTCTTCCGGAAGAATTAATTCCACTATGCAAAATGGATGGTGATTGTTCAACTACACATAAATGTTGTCGTCCTTTATGTTCATGCAGAGATCGTTGTGTTGAAGCTATTCCTAAAGAAAAATGATGAATAAATCTTTTACATAAACTTAAATTAAGGTCATTGTGAAAATATATCAATAGTGAACAATAATTTAAGTTTGATAATAAAAAACTAGGATAATTAAAAATTTTGCTTTTTTATTAATTTGACTACTCATTTTTCTCTATATTATTTTTTTGTTAATTGGCTATTTAAAAAATTAGTACAATAAGAATAAAGATTTATAGTCAAAAACAATAAATATCATACAAGTTAGCAAAATACAAGGTGTTAGCAATACAATTGTACATAATACTGAAAGAAGAACTATGTGTTTTCATGGACCTTGTCATGATAACATTGATAATCAAGGCATCATATAGCTAGTATCTTCTAATGTAAACAATGTATCTTCTGTCCATATTTACAATTGTTTTTCTTTTATCAATGAAGGTCAATATAATTCGTTAGAAAAGTGATCATTTGTTTTTCTCATCTAATATTACCTTATAATCCTTTAATTATGACATCTGTCAGGCACATTTTTTCTCAATTGAATGGTGCGATTTTTTTATTAATGCTCTATTTTATTATAACATTCATCAGTGGTTGCGGGGGACATAATGATAAATCGATAGACAGAAACGAAACAAAAGGAGAAAGGAGACAAATATAATACAAATGAAGAAACACAATGAATGAAATCAAACTAGAGCCTATTGAATTTAAAATTTTCGAACTTGAACCCTGTCAAACAGTATATTTTGATAATCTCAAGGAAGTTTTCTAATCGAATTGGATAGTCGTCCGAAAGATAAAAGATGTTTTTTTTTGTATTCGGTGACTATTGCATCGTGCACATTTCTTAGACGACTAGAACCCATCGGGTTCGGGTTTAATCCTACGGGCTCTAAATCGATTCCATAGAAAAGGAACGAAGATCACAAAGCCGTATGTCTATTCTACATTAGCAGACTTTGCTGGTTTCTGAGGAATAGTGCCATGGGAAGAAGCGAAGTAACCAACACCATCGTTGAATTAAAAGGTGTTTCGACAGCATTATTAATTTTTTTTTTGTATCTTGGCCATATTTGACGATGGATCGATATGGAATATATGTGTCAGGTGAGTTTAGAGTTTGGTTGAAATTGAAATATCGTTTTGTAATTCTATAATAAAAGATGTCGTAAATGTAAAACCATAAAAATTTGTTTATTGTTTTGTTCAATAGAATATATGTTTTGACAATACTTTTTTTTAATTTTTGGGACATACAATGATTGGTGAAAGTTTTTGAAAAAATTTTATTTTTTTTTTCAAAATATTTATCCAAACGAGCAAGGGTTGGTGTTAGTGGTTTTTAAAAAGAATGATGAATTGCACAATATGTTTGTCTCATAGTCATGATATTAGGGTATAATGAATGGTTGTACGCACTATTGAGATTAACAATTAAATTGATAGTCCGAATACTACAATCGATGGTGTATGACACAGTAAAAGAAAAAAACACAAAGAAAATATAAATATTTTTTTATTTATGTTGTTTAATGTGATTCTATTTTGTGAACTCTTGTCTAAATCAATTAGGTTAGTTTGTTTATAATGCTTTAATTCATAGTATAAATTTCTTTTTCTAAGAGAATGTTTTAAAATTAATTCGCGTCTTTCAAACTTAACTGCATTCACACGTCACCTGTGACATTTTATACATTAACTACTAGTACTTGAAATATGCTTGCTTATTCATGTGTTCAAAATTTATTCAATACAATTAGATGAATGATCCATGCGCTGAAAAGAGTCCAAGGCCGATAATGCATGGATCTATTTACTTCGACCGAGCTTAACTCATTAACACATCTGATACGACTTATCAAAGATGAGAAAATGAAATTCCATAATGTTTGGTCACGTCGAAAAAATAACTTTGATAACATTCTTTTGATATTTTTATCAATGTCGTATTTTCTTTCAGTTAATATAAATTGAGTCCAATTTCTCTTGGATGATGGTTTATGTCCTACTCTTCAAATACAGTCAAAATACAAAAAATAAAAAATAAAAAATTGGTCGAAACTTATGCAATACTCTTGAAATATTGATTGCAAGTGTCTTTTTTTTTTGTATCAATAAATGTTGTTTAGTATAAGTAAAATAACCAGCAATCTATTTGAATGAAAGAATATATTTTGCATATAAAGAGAAAAACACCTATCAAGAATACATCAACTTTGCATAAAATATACAATTCAAAGAAAAACATACTAATTATTTGATACATAAGGAAGAATTATGATATTTTATGTATACGTTTCTATTCTTATTGACAACTACGAATTCAAATAATGTTTCAATCTTGAAATTTCTAAAAGATATATTGTAAAAGTTTTTTGAATTTGCAATAACAAACGGTTTATTATATTCACATGTAATACTTTTATATTATTCAAAACATAAATATCATTTTTGTTAAATAAGAAAATTTCAGTGTTATAAATAATCGTTCAGAAACATAATGTACCGGAGGATTCCTATTTTTCTACTTATTGAAATCATATTATGTCAAAGTATGAACATCAAAATTTTTAAATAAATCATATTTCATCAACAAAATAGAATCATATCCACAAACACCAATTAAATTTCGTAGTTTTTGGTATTTATCTGAACGAAATGGTAATCGAGAAAATTATTCGAAACAACTTGGCCAAAATTTTTTAAATAATATAGGGTGTCCAGTAAGTCATGAAACAGATACACTAAAAATCAAATATCTCCATTATACCCCGACCAAACGGGCCCATTTTTTTTTACCAAGGACAGAGGCATGTTCACATTCCAAATTCATACGGGCAAGGTCAGTGAGAACCTTTGTTAAATACCACTGTTGACTTCAACAAGAAAATTTTACTTGTTCACAGGTAGGAAAAGAAAACAATATGCTCACCATAGGTTTTCACTAATCTCGTCCATACGAATTTAGAGTGTGAACATGCCTCTATCTTTGGTAAGAAAATCAACTCGTTTGCTCGAGCCGTAATGGAGATATTCAATTTTCTTTTCTGATAACGTGACTTTTGCACACTCCTATATATTGTTTTTTTCCTACTAGTGAACAAGTAAAATTTTCTTGTTGAGGTCAATAGTGGTATTTAACAAAGGTTCTCACTGACCTTGTCCGTATGAATTTTGAATGTGAACATGTCTCTATCCTTGATAAAAAATGAGCCCGTTTGGTCGAGCCATAATTGAGATATTCAATTTTTAGTGTGTCTGTTTTATGACTTACTGGACACCCTATTATGGTATATTTACAATAGATTTTTTGGATAATCTATCTAGAAAACAGATAATCAGGGAATTTATCAAATTTTTGCTGATACTTTACAAAGTATTTGATATAATGAAAAGAAAACATTGTGTTTTTTATTCAAATTTATTTTTAGGTCCTGCTATCTTTGTAAATGGAAGTTTCTGTTTTTGGCGTCGTCAAATTTCAAATGGTGATGTTATCTGGGATCGACAATCGACTGGTTCATGTACACCATCATTTGAAATAGACAATTCATCTGAATCTATTCGTTATATACGTAATATATTAAATTGTCAGTATATTGATGATGAAGAGCCTTATGAAATACTTTCGAATGCACAAGATGAAGATGAATTACTAAAATTCGATAAATCGTTAATAAGTCTTGAACAACAATCGATTGTTTTTATGGAAGTTCATCAATACGTTTTTCGTCAACATTAACATTAGATTTGTCTAATATTCAAATCGATGTTATTAATCGAGGTTTTAGTGGATCAACACTTAAACAATGTTAGCAACAATTTAAACGTATTATTTTACCATTAAAATCACATTTATTATTCGCTCGACTGAAGGAAGGGTCATATGAAATAAAATGAGTTTGCTTGCACATTTAAAGTCATGTGTACACATATATTTGTGGGGATCTTGAGTAACTATATGAAATAAGGTTTTTTCATGCTGGCCATTCAGTTAATCACGTTGATTTTGCTGTTGGCGTGCCATTCACTTCGTTGTTCTCACTATCTAGCTCTCGTCCAATCAAATTTTCTGATGTTCGAAGTCTAGCTTATCAAATACTTTCGTTATCCAGCTCCTGACCAATTTGGCCTTTTTTTGTAACCGGAATTTCAATCTATCAGATATTTTTTATTTCTAGCTTTCGTCTAATTAGTTTATCAACTTGGAATTTCAGCAAATGACATGTTTTCCCAGCGTAGCTTTTGGCTAATAAGTATTTTCCTGTTGAAAGCCCAGCTAATCACATGTTTTCGATATTCAACTTTCGTTCAATCAAATTTTTCAAGCTGGTAGTTATATCAATCATATGCCGAATGTGGCATGAGTGTTGGTATGCAAGGTGAATGTAGGTGCAGTTTATATGTGTGGTGCAGGTATCGCTGTTGGCAAGCGTGTGGATGTGAGATCTGCGTGTTTGTATGGCGGGCGTGTAGGTTTTGGGTGCTGTTGCAGCGGGATGAGTTATGCGTACCGAGTTTACGTGTGTGTGCATACGTATGGGTACGATTATGATTATTTGAATAGTGAAGAGAAGCAACACACTGCATGGATATCGACATCATCGCTGATATCCGTACCAACACTGGCACACACAGTCGTATTCACACCAACACTCACATACACATCCACATCCGAGTTACGGCGACGAGAGTTACTTGTTCAGTTTGTGATCAACTTCAAAAAGCATTATTTAAATAGGCATTCTATGTACTCGTATCTACATTATCTCGATGCTATGAAACTTTGATATTCTAAATCTTTACTCATCTTCATGTCACTCAAAACAGATAATGTCTACGGCTCGTTGTCAGTCAATATACGTGAAAACATGTCAACTTTACAGTAGTAAACATCATAAATACAAATCTTAAACTGTCTGTATTTACAGCATTTGCTCGGACGTAGAAATACAGTTGATACTTTAATAATAGTATGAACAGTTAGTATACAATTCGTTTGCTGTACATTACAACTATTCCAGTCAATCTTTAAAGTATTCGTGAACGAACTACACTTGCACTGTTTTCACACCATAAACTACGTGCAATACGCCATAAATTCGTAATCCACAAACGGACGTTACACTACCTATACAGTTATGTTTATTCAATGAATTTTAGCTATAGAGCAGCATTTGATATTCGAGCACGTTGTATACAGTCGTTTGAGTATGAGAGACTGGCAGGACAGTACATGACGTTGCTCACGTTTAGGCACGTTGCACGCTTCTGTCTCTTTTCGTTTTATCAACGAATTTTGTAAAGGCTAGTTAGTGTCTTTCATGCTTTTGTAGCACTTCTCAACGATTGGAATGATATAGCACGTGCTCTGGAAAGCTCTAACAGATGTTCGCATAGGGATGAACAATCGTGAGAGACTGTCACATTTCTCTCGGTTGTGTATCACATGGTTGGATCTGGACTAGAGATAAACAGATAAACATAAGACTAGAGAAATACATTCATGAGAAGTTATACAAATGTAGAGTAATCTCTTCCATTCATTCAAAGCACAACATATCAATAATATTTGAAAACCTATATATTATTTTCGTTCATCAGAAAATCCATCCAATACTAACGACGAAAAAGTTTGACAATCGAAAGTTTTTACAGATCGTGCTTTATGGCATTGTACAGTAGTCAACCAAAGCTACTGATAGGCTTATGAAACAACCCGAAAGCATGGCTAGGATGTTAACTATAATAGAAATAGAAAAAGAATTTTAAATAGCATGCGGCTAAAACAAAATATGAAGTCAATGAGAAAGTTCACAGAGCCATTCTTCTCGTAGACTACCCAATGGTATTACATTAACTTTATCAGAGCTATTGATTATTTAACACTACGCAGTTCCTAACCATAGATTTTGGACAGTTTCACAATAGAAGATAGTGAAGCAGTAGATAATTAACAAGCACATGGCGTCTATGTAGTTGCCTGAAGAATCATAATGATAAAATATTAGACACGATGCTGTACGCAATTGTTTGCTTGGGACATGATTCGATTATTTCAGCTTAATTGGTCATCAAATAACAAAACTGCATTGGATAATGATAATTCGCTGAAGATGACACTAAAGACCAAAGCGGCGTAAGGCGCTGATTGATCATTGCGAAGTATTCAGTAAACCAATAACAGCTACTCCATAATTTGCCTCATAAATGATTAACATATGACAAATGTTGCAATTTGCAACGTTGTGGTAAAATAGCTACCATAAGAAAATAAACGAATTTTTGTTCATTAGAATTTGGACAACTCTGTTACGATTTTTTCTTATTTAAATAATATTACAGATATTTTCCTAAATGATTTTTAAATATCATTAAATCTCTCAGATGTAAAAGATATTTACTAGCAAATGTTATTGATATGACAAAAAATCTTTTACGTGTATCATCTCAAATTAATTTTCTTATTCCATACAACAATATTTGTTTTTCATGGTCAACACAGTTTTGTGAATTGTTTGAAAAATAGAATTTACCAATAATTGATGAGCTAGATGAGTGGAAGAGCATATATATTGTCATCTATCTTGTTAATAATCATCATTTTTCATGTAAATCAATTTATCTTCCAGGATTAAACAGCTCATTATGAAGATATTTTTTAAGGATCTAGCTTAGGTTTTAATATCTGTCCTTGTTTGATATTCGACTTATCTTCTAGATGATATAATTTTTCTTGTCTTTTGATAACTTGACTTGTTCTTTTCGTGATAGGCCGACTTAGTAACATACTTAAAACTAATCAAATCTGCAATGTGTTTCTAACTGGAATAAATCGTAATTCTACTAATTTTAGGTACAAGATTAATAAAAAACTAACTTTTTATATGAATACGTCTAATACGTATTAGATAAGAGCGCCATCTCATCCGATGCATGGCGCTTTTAATGCATTAGATGTATAACAATAAAACAGACAATCAACGAATTAGACTAATTTGCTCTTAGGTTTCAACTCCGGATAATTATCATTATCCAACTGCATTTGCAACAATACGTAAATTAAAAAAATCTTATGCAACCGACTATTCTATCATATCTCACCAGAAGTTTGTTCAAGGAGATGGAAACAGAAATTCCAAAGTTATAAATATCCATATTTTACCATGTGACAAATCAAATTTAACAAAACGCGAAGTAACCTATAGTTGTAATCATGACGTTTTCTTCATGTCTCATTAATTTGCATCTCTTTCTTTAGACAAGTCATTGCAAAAGCACGAGATAGATACGACATATACCTATTATAAACTTACGTCAACGAAAAAAATCCCTAAGACACACATTTCAACAAAAGAAGTGTCTTCAAAATTTTCATCCATGTCGACCAAAACTATTTTTACTCTTCTTACATTACCGATCGAAATAGTCTACCGAATTCTTGATCAACTTGATGATTTCGATATTTTATGCTCCACGCAAAACATCTGTGCGCGTATGAATGCAATTGTCGACAGCTACTATCGATATCAGGTAAAATACTATTATATCTGAAAATTTGACTTTCATCATCTTCAATACCTGATTCATTTATCTAGATTATCAATCTATATACTGTCTCACTAGAACATTTTCCTTGAGTAAGCACCCATTGAAAGATTGCATCAATTACACGATTTATTGAAAACTACTTATGCTTTAAGTTCCACTCGAAAATTGAGACTAACTACTGACAATAGTTCAAGTTAGCTAAAATACACTACTAGTAATAATCCAACAATCATGAAAAGGAGTGCCATTCGTTGAAATGGCGCTAACTTGAATAATCCTAAGTCAATCATACCTCACAGCTACATTCCAAAGACTATCATTAAAATCGCAGTAATGGAAACATTACTAAGATCGATTCTTTCCAAGAACAATATCTCAGCAACACTATCACATTACTTAAAAAGAGCGCTATATGAGCAGTTACTTTTCATTGTACATCAACTAAAATAGCACATGCAACTCTAACAACCTTTAAAAAAACAAACGTAGGAGTCAAAGTCTTCAGTGAGCGTGAAATCATCAGCACATCTTTCCATATATGATAAATTTTCCTTTTTTTTATAACAAAGATTGACGAGTATTAGAGCCTATTATTCCGGATTTTTTCAGTCGATACTGGACTTCCCCATTCTTGCGAGAGCTCCCACAACCTCATCCTCGATCCGACAACAATTTTGAGACAGCCAATATGCACTACAAACAATGTATACACTTACGGCATTTTATCGTCTTTGTTTGCTCAAAAAGAAACATCCCTGTGTGGTTGCACTAAATCAAAGATTTCTCAAACAAACCTATACCACCGACCATAAGTCGCATTACGATACCACGTTGTGGAGCCTTCCATCATTTTAACCTTTCTATTCTCACACATAGACACTAACAACACTAGATCTCCATGACAATCAAATTAGTGATGAAGAAGCACAACACCTCGGCAAAGCTCTCGAACAAAACAAAGTAATATTCTTAGCTTCTCTACCTATCATTCACCATTTGTTCAAAACAGACACTAACCACATTAGACCTTTCTTACAGTCGAATCGGTGATGAAGGAGCACAACATCTTGGCAAAGCTCTCGAACAAAATGAAGTAATATTCTTACCTTCTCTATGTAACATTAACTGCCTGTTTAAACCAGACACTAACTACACTGGATCTTCGTGACAATCAAATCAGTGTTCAAGGAACACAACATCTTGGCAAAGCTCTCAAACAAAACAAGGTAATATTCTTAGCTTCTCTATCTATCATTGTCTGTCTATTCGAAACAGACACTAATTACATTGAACCTTTCGAATAATCAAATCGGTGATAAAGGAGCAAAACATCTTCGCAAAGCTCTCAAACAAAACAAAGTAATATCCTTACCTTCTTTGTGTAACATTAACTGCCTATTCAAACCAGACACTAACCACACTGGATCTTTGTGACAATCAAATAAGTGCTCCAGGAGCACAACAGCTTGGTAAAGCTCTCAAACAAAACAAAGTAATATTCTTAACTTCTCTATCCATCATTGTGTGTCTGTTCGAAACAGACACTAATTACATTGAATCTCTCGAACAATCAAATCGGTGATAAAGGAACACAACATCTTGGCAAAGCTCTCAAACAAAACAAAGTAATATTTACATTTTTTCTGTCTATCATTCACTACCTGTTCAAAACAGACACTAACCACACTGTATCTTTATCACAGTGAAATCAGTAATGAAGAAACGCAACATCTTGCCAAAGCTCTCAAACAAAACAAAGTAATAGCCTTATCTTCTTTATGTATCATTCCCTGCCTGTTCAAAATAGACACTAACCACACTTGATCTAAGTGCGAATCAAATCGGTGACAAAGGAGCACAACATCTTGGCAAAGCTCTTGAACAAAACAGAGTAATATTCCTATCTTCTTTATTTATCATTTCCTGCCTATTCAAAATAGACATTGGCAACACTGAACCTCAATTGGAATCAAATCGGTCATGAAGGAGCACAACATCTTAGTAGAGCTCTCGAACAAAACGAAGTAATATCCTGACCTTCTCTATCTATCATTCCCTGCTTGTTCAAAACAGACACTGGCCACACTAGACCTCACTAAAAATCAAATCGGTGATCAAGGAGCACAACATCTTGGTAGAGCTCTCGAACAAAACAGAGTAATATCATGATCTTCTCTATCTATCATTCCCTGCTCGTTTAAAACAGACACTAACCACACTGAATCTCTCTTGCAATCAGATTGGTCATCAAGGAGGACAACATCTTGGTAGAGCTCTCGAACAAAACAAAGTAATATCGCTCTCTTCTTTATCTATCATTTCCTGGCTGTTCAAAATAGACATTAACAGCACTGAACCTCACTTGGAATCAAATCGGTGATGAAGGAGCACAACATCTTGCCAAAGCTCTTGAACGAAACAAAGTAATATACTTACCTTTTCTACGTAGCATTCCCTATCTGTATAAAACAGACACTAACCAGACTGAGCCTCTATTGCAATCGAATCGGTAATGAAGGAGCACAACAACTTGGCAAAGCTCTCGAACAAAACAAAGTAATATCTTCACCTTCTCTATCTATCATTCTTCGATTGTTCAAAATAGACACTAACCACACTGAGCCTCTATTACAATCAAATCAATGATGAAGGTGCACAATATCTTGCCAAAGCTCTTGAACAAAACCAAGTAATATCCTCATCTTCTCTATCTAACACTTTCTGCCTGTTCAAAGCAGACACTAACCACACTAAATCTTCGTTACAATCAAATTGGTGATGAAGGAGCACAACATCTTGCCAGAGCTCTCGAACAAAACAAAGTAATATTCTCACCTTCTCTATCCATCATTCTCTGTCTCCTCAAAACAGACGCTAATAAGACTGGTCCTCCGTTGCAATCAAATTGGTAATGAAGGAGCACAACATCTTGCCAAAGCTCTTGAACAAAACAAAGTAATATCCACACCTTCTCTATCTATCATTCCTTGCCTGTTCAAAACAGACACTAATAACATTGGACCTCAGTTGGAATCGAATCGATGATGAAGAAACACAACATCTTGTCAAAGTTCTCAAACAAAACAAAGTAATATTCTCACCTTCTCTATCTATCATTCACTGCCTGTTCAAAACAGATATTCACAAGACTAGTCCTCCGTCAGAATCAAATCGATGATGAAGAAGCAGAAGTTCTTGGCAATATTCGAAAACAAAATCGGATGATGTTTTAATTCTTTTTGATAACATCGACGACTTCAAAACTGATATTTCTAATACTGGATATGAGAATGTGGGTGTGGCTCCTCTGCGCTCACATCCATGCTTGTTTTGGAACGATACTATGTAGGAGTTTCAATTATGGTGTTTGTTCAACCACGTTGTCTTTTGATTTTTTGTTTTCTTCTGATTTGATTCAAAACCGAAAAAACATTGTTTGCTTCTCGTTCTCGATCAACGTTGTATTAATAATGTGGGCAGTTAGTATTCTTACAAATCAGCGTCTTTTGATTGAGCTTAATTTCAAAGGATGGAACAACGTTTCTATTGCATTTTGAGTCTCTGTCAATTTGATGTAATCAAGGGAAATGTTGCGAATATATTCCTTGTGAGTATTGAATAACAGATCGATAAGTTTTGATTTCAGAAAATGAATGCTGCATATAAATGATTAGATGAGTAAATAAGATCATCATCGAAAGTGTGTATATCAGGTAATTGTGGTTTCAACGTGAGATGTCGCCGGCAAAATGTCCTCTTTCGTGTGATCTTACCAGCCGTCTTTTTTTTAATAATAGTCCGACAAAACAAAGATCTACACAGTTGAATTTTTTGAGAGTATGTATAGTAACTTAAAACACCTCTATGTTACATAAAACATAGTTAACAGAAGCTTCAGAGTCCAAAGATGTATGCATTTTTTTTTAATCATCTGTATGAATAATACATTGTCAAATTGAGCTCTATAGGGGTTAAGGTCATCTTTTGTACATTTCTTATTGTAAAAATACGAGAAATTACTCTTATCAGAGTACGCCATCTGTTGACGAAGGTTCATGACAGAATTTTCGATTGGATTCGACCTAAATCTTGTCAATCTATTTATTTTTACAATTTATCATTTTAAACAAAAATTGTCTTGAAAATCCGAATGGCTTCGATTTTAAGTCGATCATTTCTCATGATGTCTCTTCGTAAATCTTCTTCATTTAAACGTTGTCCATTAGTTTATATTCGTTCTATTTCATCTGATCATCATCAACATTATCGTCCATTAATGCTTATGGATCTTCCACGTATTGCTTATCCAAATATATTTCTCATCATAAAAAATTTCTTTTCTCGAATTATTATTAATGGACATTTTGATTCAACATTTGCTATAAAACCATTTTGTGATGGTGCTCGACAAGCATTAACTGTTGTTTCAAATTTAATTGGTAATGGTCAATTTGATGATCTTCCTGGATTTGTTACACGAGAGGTAGAAAAATTGAAAACAAAAATAAAAAAATAGAAAAACATTTTATTAATCATTAAAACAAAAAGAAAACAGAAATCTAATCTAGGTTATTAATGAAGTCAAACAAAATTATGAACATTTATCATCTCAACAAAAACAACAAATTCCTGTTGAAGAAGGAGAAATTATTTTTTCTTATCCATATCTAATTGGTCTTATAATGGATGAACAAACAAGTAAAAAAAAACAAAAATTAAATTCTTTTTCTTTTTTTAATAAAATTCAATAAATTTCTAGATACACGTATGGTTGAAATCATAATGATTTTTCATATTCTGAAAAATCCTGAATCATATCGAGATGAAATGCTTGAAGGTTCTGGTAGTACTTTTTCAAATTGGATATCAACAATTAAAACAATGCGTGATAATATTATTGTTTGTAATTATAAATTTTCACGTAATATGAGTGAAAATGCTCAAGATAATAGTTGGATTATTACTGGACTTAATCATTGGTTACCAAATGAATATTTTCAACAAAATTAAACTTTGTTTTGTTTTCAACAATACAAAACAAAAATTAGAAAAATAAATATTTACATTGTTTATCTGAAATAGAAAATGTTTTTTCTTGATGTTACTTTCATTATGTACATGCACTTTGTGGAACGAATTAAATGTTCATTGTAGGAAAACATTGCATTTATTTTTTTATTTGATTAAACATCCGTTTGTGTTTATTTGTCTATATATTGAATGAATAGATTTATTATCATGTGAAAATGCATTTTATATAAGTACAATAATTTCTATTGATTTTATTTAATAAGATTTTCAATGACTTAATTTTTTGATAGATAATGAACTCATAATTTATAATCTAAGGAACAATCCTATTTAACAAATAATAATGTCTTAACAAAAAATAACTATATACAGTACTGGACAAAAATATAAGAACAACATATTTCTTTATTTTTTTCTATAATAACAAGCATCTAACTCAAATCCAAATAGTGATTCAAATAGCCATTAAAGAGCTCTATCAAATGCATCCTTTACGAAAACTTCATGGATGATTTAAGAGAGCAAAGTTTCTAGAAAACCAAAACACATCTTTTTCAAGTTTCAGAAGACTTCACAATAATTCATTTCTAACAGTACCATCTTAAAGAGTACAAAATTGTGAACAAAATGAAGGGTCGCCGCGTTTTCTACGATCTTTCCTTCAAAAGTTATAAGCATCACAAAAATCAAAAGAAAAGTGAAATTTATCAAGAAATCACTAAAAATCGGTTTTTTTCGACTTTTGTGATGCTTATAACTTATGAAGGAAAGATCGTAGAAAACACAGCGACCCTTCATTTTGTTCACAGTTTTGTGCTCTTTAAGATGGTACTGTTAGAAACGAATTATTGTGAGGTCTTCTGAAACTTGAAAAATATGGACTTTGGTTTTCTAGAAACCTTGCTTCCTTAAATCATTTATAAAATTTTGGTATAGAATGAATTTGATGGAGCTCTTTATTGACTATCTGAATCACTATTTGGATTTGAGTTAGATACTTGTTATTATAGAAAAAAATAATAAAGAAATATGTTGTTCTTATATTTTTGTTCAGTACTGTATTATCTCTTTATAATCAATTTTGTTTATCGATTTAATATATTATTAAACAAAAAAACAAAACAAAGGAATCTTTAACATTTGAGTTTTTGATTTATTTTATATTTAATTATAATATGATTGTCGTCGATAATCTCGTTTTAAAATACGATTAAATGTTCGTCGAAAATGTTTATTTGATAAAGCATATAAAAATGGATTTATTGTTGAATTAACATAACCAAACCATATTGTTGCTGTAACAATACGTTCTGATACACATGAACCACAATAAGCAACAACCATATAGATAATAAAATATGGTAGAAAACAACATGTGAAACCAAATACAATAGCAAATAATTGTCGAAATGCTTTTTCTTGTTGATTCCATATAGTTGATTGTTTAATTTTATTTGATGTTTGACGATGAATTTTAGAATTTGAATGAAATAATATATTTGATGATATACTATTTCTTTGTAAATTATAAGACGACATTGCATTCTGTTTTCGACTTGCTGATGATGATAATGATGAAGATGATAATTTTGTTGTAGTATGAAAAGGTTCTACATTTGAATGAATAGTTATAGCAGATGTAGCTGTTGAACAACAATGACATAAATTAAATATATTCATTGTTGTTGATGCTCTTATTGTATCTGATAATGAACAACGTCGACATGTACATGTTGTTCGATTTGTTATATTACGAGATGATGGACGACATTGTATTGTATGATAATTACACGAATCATTATGATGTTTATGTATAATACCAAATTGTTCATTAGAATAAAGTCGACATGGATGATAATCATGTCTATGTTTAAAACAACGTTCATCAACATTAAGACGATGTTTTGAAACTGTATGATATGGACGTAATTTTAATGTTGATGTTGGTTTTAATAATGAACTGGAATGTTCAAGATGATTAGTACACCATGTATATTGATCCTAGATAAAAAGAAGAGAATTTTTTTTTCTATGGCTTTTAATTGTCTGTTTTTTTTTGTTTACCTGTGTATAAGGTTTTGTTTCAACAAATGAATATGCACGTTTTAAAGATGATCGTCGAATAATAGGAATTTGATTTGATATAATAGATCGATTTTTTTTCTCTTTAAAATTAATACGTAATGTTGAATTATTATCATTTTTAATTATTGAACGTTTTGATGTAATTAAACAATCATTTTCATTTAAATTTATTGGTGTTGAACATAATTGTTTATCACTATCACATATTGTCATTGTTATTGGTGAACGAGTATATTTTGTTAATGAATTAAATTTATGATTACTTGATGATTCATTTAATTGATTTGAATGTCTTTGTAAAAGAACACTTTTATAACGTCGTTTAATTTCATAATAAATACGAGCATTTAATGATATTAATACAAGAAGTGGTAAATAAAAATTAATTATAGCTGTTGATACTTTAAATATTTTTGAATGTGTATATTCTGGTTCACATTTAGTTGGCTAAATTTAAGATGAGAATTTTTTTGTTTTTTTGAAATACATTTTATATATAATTTAATACTTACAGGAATACCACTTGTACCATTATTAAAAAAATGCTGCCAACCAAATATAGGTATAACCCATAGAAGTGATAAACCCCAAGCAAAACCAATTAATAATAAAGCTCGAGGTCGTGTTCGTTTACCAAGATATTGAAGTGGAGATGTTATTGACCAATAACGATCTAAACTTAATGTGAGTAAATTAAATATTGATGCTGTTGATGCAGTAAAATCGACTGAAAGCCAAATCTGACATAGAACAAGACCTAAATGAAGAGAAAAAAAACATTATAATAAAAATTATTATTATTATTATTTATAATTTATGTAGAATATTTGACCTTACTCGAATTGGTATGTTTTAGATATTTAATTAATTTTTTTTTCTTTGAAAATTAAAACATACTTCTTTCGAGATGATTTTTGTCTAACGAACAATATATATGTCGTATCGAAGTTACACCGGTCGACGAAGTTACAACTTCGTCGTATAAACGCGACGAAGTTATAACTTCGACGCTCACAGTTATCGAAGTTATTTTTAATTCACTTATCAATAAGTAATTTATTA